ATATATATATATATACACACACACATATGTATCTATATGAACATTAAAAATTTGATTTAAGTTCTTCGTGCTGCTACTCTAAAACAAATTTATAAATTCAGCTTAGAAGATTAGCAAAGCTATAAAATCACTGCAGTTTAAATGCATAAGATGAGGGTTAAGGTTGACCTGGTCTCTCAAGAATGAGGAGGATGAGAAGCTGTGTGAATAGAGAGTGGGAGATAAAGGCCCAGGCAAGGGAGAGAGTAAGTGCGCAGAAGACCTGGTTAAATGAAGGTCTAGCACATAGGTGACCTAGAACACTTTGGGCCTTGGTGTACGTTGGGTGGGTAGGGCACTGGAGGCCATTAGACTCTTTGGAACTGGATCATGAGAAAGTTGAGTACTGAGCGGAGGAATGAGGCCTCATTCTGTATGTGTGGGAATCATTGAAGGCATATGAACAGAAGAAGAAGATGACGGATACTGTGTTTTAAATTTTTAAAAATGCAGCAATATTTAGATACATTAGAATGAAAAACAAGATCAGAAACCCAACTAAGCGGTCCACTGGCTAGGTCCTAGAACACAGCTGGTCCTCGCTGAGCATGAGTTGAGTGAGTGTATGATGCTTAGTGAAGGGGAGGAGACATCCGATTAGAATGTGTAGGCAATGAAGTCAGAATAGAAGTTAGCAACCAGTAGGATTGGGGAGTGTCTAATTAATGGAATCCTTGAGAAATGTCTGAAGTTGCAAAGGAGAGAGAAAGAGTCAGCGGGCTGTGGTGGTCTAGAAGCCAGAGAAGCAGAAAGAGTTATCCATTGGTGCATGTCCAGCTTATAAATATTTCTTTTGGATTTTGAAATTGATTTTGGCTCAAGTGGCTAAGGCGCCAGCCACATAAACCTAAGGTGGCGAGTTCGAATCCAACCCGGGCCCGCCAAACAACAATGATGGCTACAACTGAAAAAAAAAAAAAAAGAGCCAGGTGTTGTGGCGGGCGCCTGTGGTCCCAGTAACTTGGGAGGCGGAGGCAGGAAACTCGCTTGAGCCCGGGAGTTGGAGGTTGCTGTGAGCTGTGATGCCAGGGTACAGTTTAGAGAGGCTTTCATCCAACAGCGTGTATGGTCTGAGGATCTTTGTTCCTTAACCTCCACAACCACGTTTCTCAAACTTGATGAATGTA